TCCTGGAAAATGCGCCTTCATTTGGCTGCTCCAGATGGCGAGAAATGTGAACCTAGCAGGAAGTCGTTGTGTTTTTGCATGAGTAATGAACCCGGGTCCAACTTGAAAGTCAAGTTGAGGCCACTTCGATGATGACAAGGGAGTGGGGTTGCACAAGTGCGTGCAACTTGTTGTAGCTCGCAAAATCTTGTTTAGAAATCCCCCAGTCAATCACATGCTTGCGCCTGTTCGCTCTGTACATCGCGCCTGCGTTGTCGAAGTGCCATGACTCGGCCAAATAGGGCTGTCAGTCCATTCAAAAAAATTGAGGGTCCCTCAGTTTCAAGGTGGACCCACCTTCATTAGAATAGTGACTTCGCAAGATTTCCACCGTTTCAGAATTAACCCTGAGGCCACAGTATAGAAATCGGGAACCCCCCTGAGGAATCAGTATGAACATAAGCGGCCAACCGTGACTACTATACGCAATTTTGGGGGCCCACCCTGATTGGTCAGGATGTCTAAAATCCTATCTGAGGCCCTAGTACAATGGAATGACGAGGCAAGATATAGGAACACCAGAGCAATCCTAGCCGCGTAATTGAACAGGTTTGGAGAAGGCATCCGAGGACGCGAAGCGCTTCGAAGTGACGCGGAATGGTTCGATGCGATGTGTTCGGACCGAAGCTAGGGCGGCTGTCAGTGCCGTGAGGGGTCGATGTATGCGGTAGCGGTGTAGCTCGCTATGGAATGGAAATTTCCTTACACTACCCCCCGTTATAGCGAAGGTGGTGTATATTTGCGGCGTTCTTATGGGATAAATAATCACGGAGTACCGTAGGCGACTGTACTTGTAGCGAGGGAACCCATGTATCGTCCTCACTGGTACGACCTGTTCGAGAAGTACTAGTTTCCCTGCATTCATAGTAATATCCCATCTGTGGTGGTCGGCATATTCGCGGGCAGTGATATTGACTTTTCGAATAAACTCGGTGGCTTTCGTGCAGGTGGTTTGAAGGTCTTCGACGAACTCCTGCGAGCGGGGGACTTGACTTCCAATGTTGGTGGAAATGGGTACGGTCGGATCCATCCCGTAATTCAGGAAGAAGGGTGAATGATTGGTCGTAGCGGAGGGTGCGTTGTTGTAGGAAAACTCGAGCATGGGCAGCGAATCTTCCCACTTGCGGATATCCGGGCAGTTCGTGCAAATCAACTGTTCCATGGTCTGATTTGTCCTTTCTGTTTGTTCGTCAGTTTGCGGGTGATAGGCGGATGAGTACTGTAGGCGGGTGCCGTATCGGTTCCACGTGTCTTGCCAGAAGCGCGAGGTGAATTTCGGATCTCTGTCGCTGTTGATCGCTGCAGGGATACCATGCAGGCGAACGACGGTCGAGATGAACAGACGAGCGGTTTCTTCGGTTGTGATCGTCGTATGACATGGCGCGAAATGAGCCATTTTCATCAGGCGGTCGACGACGACAAGAACCGAATCGTTACCACTAGGTCCAGCCGGCAAGCCGGTGACAAAATCCATTGTCACATAGTGCCAAGGTCGTTGGGGTTGCTCGAGGGGCTGCAACAGTCAAGCTGACCGTTGGCGTGATGATTTCATCGTCTGGCAGGTCGGACACACACCCATGTACGTTTGCACGTCCGAAATCATGTCCAACCAGTAATAAAACCACTGCAGTGCTTTTTGAGTCTTGTCAACCCCGGAATGTCCTCATAAGTTCGAATCGTGGACTTCTCGAATAAGTAGTTAGCGAAGTAGATGATTACTCGGAACCCATATTCCTTCCGCTTTTACGTAATAGGTTCCCCGCGCAGTCGCGACCTGCTAGTGACCGTTGTTTACGAAAAAGGGATCGGTCGAATATCCGTGGGTAAAAAGTCTACTCAGAAACGGGTTTGTCTTGGCGATTAGTACAGCGGCGGTTTGGGTAGATGGACTGGAGAGGACGTCGGCAATGTTGTTGGCACCCTTCTTGTATGTGATTCGATACGTGAAGTTCGACTCCATAGAATCCAACCATTGAATCTGCCGCGTGTTGAGATTCGACTGCGCGCGCAGGTACTGTAGGGATTGTGATATGTCCGTACAGTCACGTCGGCTCCCCCCAGGTACATTGCTAGATCTTGAACGTGTGCACGATCGCTAGCATTTCTTTGTCGTGTACAGGATAATTTCGCTCGGCCGACTGTAACTTTCGCGACTCATATGCGATTGGTTGAAGGTCGTCGCCAAAATCCTATAGTAGATGTGCTTCGATTGGAATGTCACTTGCGTCTGTCACGACCTCGAATGGTAGTTCTGGGTCAGCAATCCGAAGAACAGGCGGCGAGATTAAAGCATTTTTTAATCCGTCAAACGCAGCTTGCTGCTTCTCCCCCCACTGATAATCAGCGCCCTTATGAAGTAGGTCAGTTAGGGCTCCAGTTAACCCCGCCATGTTGGGGATAAACTGGCGCACATAATTGACGAACCCCAAAAATGATGGCAGCTCCTGGAGGTTGGTCGGCGGCTTCCATTCCTAAATGGCCCGAATTTTGCGGGGGGCAATTTTCACGCCCTCTGTCGAAATAACGTGCCCCAAAAACTCCCGTTTGGGTTTTAAAAACTCGCACTTAGAGCCTTTGGTGATGAGGCGATTTTGCTGCAGGCGCTGAAAACCCGCTTCCAGGTCCTTTAGGTGTTGCTCCCGTGTTGTGCTGTAAATCATGATGTCATCCAGATAAATGATAACACGTTTACTAAGCAGATAAACGTTTACGCAGAGCTGTACCCCACGCTATCCACATGCGAATCTCGGTCGCTCCGAAAATTGACGTTGCATCCTGAGCAGCAGATTCCGAACTCCCGAAAAACCCCTGAGTGTTCCCTACCGAAGTCCTCGTCTCACTTAGCGTCGATCGCCACCAATCCAATGTAGGCCCCCTCAGCAGTGAAACAACCAGTTTGATTTTTAAATCATCAACAGTAATTCCGACAGCATCAAAATAAAGCTCCATCGCAAAAAGCCAGCCCGTCATGGTGGTGTTTTTGTACATGGGTTAAAAGGGGGCGGCATCGGCGGCTTCATTTTGGCAACTGATATAGTTGGTGTGGTTGCGGCTGCTTCGGAGCGGGCGGCGGCCGCTGTCGCAGCTGCTGTGGCACGAGCGGCGGCATTCGTTGTTGCTTCAGCTTCATCATTACGGCACTCCTCCAACACATCGCGTGCAATTTTGTCCAACACCGTTTCGACACGTCCAGTGCTGGCGGCATCCTCGGGGGCGGGCGACTTCTGGCGCGTATTCTCTTGCGCCTGGCGAAGTTCGGTAACTTTGGCGCGAAGCTTCTCGTTGTTGTTCAACACAGCTTGCAGGCGAGCGTCTGTGGCGGCGAAGTTCGCCAACAACTTGTCAAACTGTGCCTGGTCCATGTAGCGGACACTACGTCGGGCGGGCAGGGGAATATCCGGGATTACCCGTGCTCATGTAAGAGCGCAAACGCTATCGTAGTCTGGCGAATGAATTCGTCAAATTCGCGGCCGACTGCTTTGCAGCTCAGTGAGTGAATCACTCCCCCCCCCCCCCCCCCCCCGAAAAAAAAGTTTTCCGCCTACGGAAACGGGTAGGACAAGAAAGTCGTACTGAATACCAAGTGTTGTGGGTGTTAAACTAGAGTAGCGCGGAAGCGAATGTCAAGGTTCAGAATAACCGAATGTGGTACAATGGAATGACGAGGCAAGATATAGGAATACCAGAGCAATCCTAGCCGCGTAATTGAACGGGTTTGGAGAAGGCATCCAAGGACCAGGGTTCCCGATAGCAGACAAAATCCGTCTGATGGTCTAAGAATCAAACCCGTTTTTTGCTGTTCATCTGATTTTTGGACGGGGTCTAATATTTCGTCTGAACGTCCATACATGTTATAAAATTTCGTCTGAATTCACAAACTTCAGTCTAGCGGTTCATCTGAGATTTCATATAGCGAGGATATTCTCGTCTGACAGCGACAATTCCATCCACCAAACCCATTGATCCCAGGTCCAAGTTGGTAACGGCCAAGTTCCTCACACCAGAGACATTCCTCCCCCAATGCCCCTCGCAATTTGTTGTTTTCCGCTCAGTCCCGCACACTAGATACAATCCTCCCCCAACGCCCCTCGCAACTTGTTGCTTTCGGCTAAGTCCCGCACACTAGATATTCTAGCTTAGTCCCCTACACCAGATATATTCCTCCTTACGGCGCTCCCAACCTAATTCTCGATGTCTTCCACTGCAAGGTACACTCCTTCCACACCCAAAAAAAAAAGCCTGAAGTTCCTCCCTCACCCAATCGCATTCCGTGGTTTTTTTGCGATGGGCAAGATCGGGATTAGCCGCGACTTGCGCCAGAGTGGCAAAACACGAAGCCACAAGGTAGAACATGACATGACCAGTGGGGTGCCAACCAGCAGGGGCCAGGGGTCCAGGCTACTGTGGGCTAGCGAAGAACGGATGACGCTCAAACACCCTGTCTGCTCAAATATCAGTCCCTCAATCAGCTAACCCTGAGTGTGCGTGTGAGTTACATCTGAAAGTTCAGACATCGGTGTACGTTTCGTCTGAAACCCCAGACCTGAGAAATGTGCTCATATGATGGTCAGACGAAATTTTGAAACCCCCGTCTGATTTTCAGACGGGCTTAAAAGTTAGCAAGAACCCTGCCGAGGACGCGGAGCGCTTCGGAGTGACGCGGAATGGTTTGGTGCGATGTGTTCGGACCGAAGCTAGGGCAGCTGTCGGTGCCGTGTGGGCTAGGTGTACGTGGTAGCTGTGTAGCTCGCTATGGAATGGAAATTTCCTTACACATGGAAATTTCTAAGAAAATCAGAATTATTATTGCGTTGTACTTGCTAAGTGCAGACTCGCGGAAATTTGTATCGAAACTCGCCTCGTGGTCGAGGTTACCCGCTGTGTGTCGAGCGTGCGCAGTCAATCACGGCTAGCGTAGGCTCTGGTCGAGAGTGAGCATTCCTTCCCTTCAGTGTGCTCCGCTTCTCGCTGCAGTCCAGCGCAGCACCAAGGAATGTAGGGGTATCACGCTCACGGACGCCCATTCCCGCAATGCGCGGACGGACAGCCGCATTCCGGTCGACCATGCGCACCGCGCGTTCGGCGGCCAAAGCATCGCTCCGCTTCGACCAGCGCGGTCGACCGGCGCATGATTAAGCGCAGCGACTTTGCGGAGCCAGCACCAGCACTCGGAGGGAGTCCTTCGCCCATTGCTATATCCGCATCACCGCATCGCCGCATCGGCCCTCAGCCCCACTCAACCCTCCTGGCATCCCCCTGCGCCCCCGCGCTCCCTCTTGCTCTCCCCGCATTACGACCCTTTCGGAATTACTCAGGCGATCGACCTCCGACCTCCTCACGTTGCCCGACACTCCTTCCCCCCGCCAAGGGGTCGTCAGTAAACCCCCATGGACCGCCTTATCCGCTTCCTGATCCTCCTCAACGCGCTGCCGCTCGTCGCGCTAATCATCGCCACGTTTCTTCAGTCCCTCTACCGCTCCCTCCTCCAGTTTCTCCGCCTCGCCCCCCCGGACGCCCCCGACCTCCCCATCTCCCCGCACCCGCGCGCGCCCCCTCCCCCCTCGGGACTCTGGTTTGTGCGCCGGCACGGATCTCTGGGACAGGCGGAGGGGGAGATGATGGAACACATGCGCCAATTCAGTCAGGGGGAAACGGGGGGGGGAATGGGGGCGCTAAGCGGGCAGGGGAGGCTTGGGGAAGCGGGGTGGGGGAGGCTGCAGGGGCAGGGAGAAGCAGGAGAGCAGAGGACGGGACAGATGGGCGGGGGAAGAGGGCACATGGGGCAGATGGGCGGGGGAAGAGGGCACATGGGGCAGGCAGTAGGGGGAAGAGGGCGCATGGGGCAGGGGCAGATGGGGCAGGGCGCATCATGGGCTGGGCAGGAAGAATTAATCCGGGCAGGATTCGGGCAGGCTGGATATGTACAGGCGGGGCTTGGGGGAGGTGGTTCGTGGGCAGCAGGGGGGGGTGGTGCGAGACCAGCAGGGCACATGGACGGTGGGCGGGGCGACTCAGGGGAGCACAGGGGGCGTGCAGGAGTGGGGAGGGGAATGGGGGAAGAGAGGTATGCGATGGGGAATATGGGGGCTGGGTTTGGGGGAGGTGGAGCGGCGGCATGGGGTGTGGGACGGTCAGGTGGGACGGGGGCAGGAATGGGGAGCAGGAGTGGAGGGGGGCATGGGTCCCATGCACAGGGCATGGTTTAGGTCATTCGTTACATCACTGCAGCAGCCACAGGAAGCACCACAAAGGGGTGTCACTCTTGCTGTACATTGCATTATGTATCAACAGATCTAACCTGTATAGGAATGCATAGAAACAAGCTCATAGCGAACTCTAAACGGAAACCTAAACCAGCACCTCCCCCCCGTCAGAACCAATCAGCTAAACAGACAGCCATCTATCCGAAACAAGCCAGCCCCAGTCCCAGCCCCATCAAATGAGCCAGTGGAGGTAAAGTGCAAGGAAGAGTGTGAGCGAGAACGCCGACAGTATATGCTGCCAGAACAGCAGGCTCGACACCTCCTTCTCCCCGTACCCTCTCAAGCTGGCCATGGCGCCCGCCAGAATGGAGCTAGGCATGCTGTGCTGCAGCAACAGCACTAACCGGAACATCTTGTCACCCGGCGGCAGGAACTTCAGCCAATCCGCCAGCAGCACCACCGCCATACCCACCAGCGGAGACACCAGCAGCCGCACCCCACTGATAGCAGCAGTTGTCCGCACACCCAGTCCCGACCCTCCCCCCGGCCCGCTGATCATGTTCCCTCCCAGCACCAGCATGATGCAGGGGATCATGCCACCAGAGAGGATGGTCAGGCTGTCCACGACAAAGAGAAAGGGTGCGGAGGGGCCGAAGAGCAGGGCTTTAAGGTGCGGGGTGGCGCCGACGAGGATGGCGAGGAGGGAGGCGATGACGGGCGGCTGCATGAGGTGGCGGATGGGCGTGCGCTCCGCTACCACCCGCATCTTGCGCATCACTTGGGGCTCCTGCAGACACGGCACACACTCCAGGTCACGGTCGTCATCCCCCTCCTTGTCGCTCTCCTCCTCCTCCTCCGCAGCATGGTCATAACCATGTTCAGCAGCAGCAGCGGCAGCGACAGCAGGAGTGTTCTCAGCAGCAGCAGCGACAGCAGGAGTGTTCTCAGCAGCAGCAGCGACAGCAGGAGTGTTCTCAGCAGCAGCACCGCGCGTCTCTTTGTGCTCCTCTGTGCTATCGTCCTCATCACTGCAGTCACTGTCGACATCCCCACAGCTGCTCTGGGTCACTGAAGACCTGCTGCTGACCCTGACTCTGCCTGAACCTGTCGCCCTGCCCGAATCAGTGCATGGCTCTACATTTATACTGCACGTGCAGCCATTGGCATCAGTGATGGCACCTGCTGCATCCGCGTCCCTGCTGCTCCGCCTGGCCGACCTGCCAACAGCGTCCCCAACACAGCTCTTCTCCTTGCAGTCAACACACACACAAGAGCACCCAGCTGCGTCTGGACTGGAAAGCTTATCCCAAGAAACTCTGGCCCTCACATCACCCATGCCTTCCTCCTCGCCCACTGCATTCCTCTCCATTGCATCCAGGACCGCACTCTCCCTCCCTCTCTGCTGCCCGTCAGACCTATGACCGTTTGCTCCTCCCTCCTGGGCCTCGAATCCATTCATGCACCCGTTCGTTGCAGCAGCAGCAGCAGCAGCATGAGCCTCAACACCAGCTCTGGCCACAGTTCCATTCGCCGCCGCCTGGTCCTTAACCGCACTGCCAGCAACCCCCTCAAAGTTTGTAATGGACAGGCTTCTAAAGAGGCGCGCCAGCAGCGGCTCTTTCATCTGCGGCGCACGGGCAGTCACCTCCAGCAGACTGGGGAACTCCGTCTCGAGCAGCTGGCGGCTGGCCTGATTAGGCGACGCGATCAGGCGCTGGTAGTGCTCGTGCTCCTGCTGCCGCAGAAACGAGCTTCGGTGCCGCGATTGGAACCAGGATCCTGGAAGGAGCTTCTGCACGGACGGCCAGACCCCACGGGATTGGGGCTCGGGACTAGCCGCTGCTGACAACGCATTCGCGAGGATGGGCAGAGAGGCGCTCGGAGACAGGGGGGTGGGAGAGAGGGAGCCGTCAGGGAGAGCAGCGACAGCACCGGGAGCGGTATCAGGAGCGACGATCTCGTAGAACTCTTCCGGTGGCTCCAGCATGTGGTAGACGAAGGTGTAGATGATGAACGCCCCGACCCACTGAGCGAACGCTATGTATGCCACGCCGTGATGGTGGCACTCCGCAGGGGACCCGAACGGGTTGTCCACCTTCCGCCTGCAAATGGAGTTGACTATAGCGAGGGGGATGTTGCCGATGTTGCCAATCCCCGTCATAACGATCGTCAAGCGGTAAAAGCGGGGCGGCGGGCGGGCAAACGCGACGACCAGCAGGCCCATGAAGCAGCCAGAAACAGCAGCGATGATGACGTTAACGGGGATGAACCACCAGAGCCGCATGCGCTCTAGCGTCAGCGTATCCCCCAGGTAAGCGAAGATGAGGCATGGGAGGAATAGCGCGAAGACGAGCTTTCCGAGCAGGCGCCGGGCTTTGTCGGTGAGCACGTTGACGCCGGGCAGCGCGAGGAGGTAGCCGAAGGCGGCGAGAGTGAGCACCTCGGCGAACGGCACGATCGCCGCCTCCACCAGGCGATTGAAGCTCGCCGACAGCATGGCTGCGATGGACGCTGCTGGAGAAACGCGGCAAATCACCAGCAGACAGCTCCACTTGTCGCGTTAGAAGACGATCTGGTGAGACTTTCTCTCAGTGAGAGGACGGTGGAGCGGAAAGGATCCGCGCGGACAAGATCCGGGACGATCGAGCTGAACGAAGGCTAGCCGTCGCTTTCAGGGGGGACGAGAACACCAGGAGAACCGTCAGCTGTAGTCGTGAAGCGTCGAGAGGCCTGATACTGGGATGACGATGAGATGCAGTCAGAATCTAGGTGTAAGAAGCTGAAGCTCCAGCCGGGAAACAAGCTTGGCGCGGGATGGCGCTGTGAACTCTGCCTTGAGCTGCCTGCGCGGCCGTGTTTACTGAACTCCGTCAACCCTCCATACCTCAACAGCGCGGTAAACTGCCATGGCTGAAGTGAATCGGCTAGACAGATTCAGAACAGGAGGCTGACGAGGTTACACTCGGTTAGCGACCGCTCGTAGAGCCGGATCCTGGCAGCTATACTTGGCAGTTGAAGCTGAATAAGCTGCTTGGCTCTAGCAACGACGAACTAGTGAGAAGACGGCTCAGCGCAGTCTGGGACTCTAACCAACTACTAGTGAGGCCGAACCATTGCTAATATCGAGGCACACGCAATGACTTGTAACATTCCCAGAGTTGGCTTGGTAGGGTCGAGCCTCGAAGGTGCCGCTACGCAGTGCGATGCAGGTGGCCGCGAGCGAGATGGCTCCTCAAGAAAACCTGGGGCTGGCGTGGCGCGCTGACTGTGCGCCTCTGTGCTGCAACGAAAAACATTTCCCAAGATTCCAGCAGCGCAACCAACCCGCACCGGACGGGCTGCTGAATGGACCTCGAAATTTGGTTCAGTGCGCCGCTCCCGCCAGCACCCGCAGCAACTCCCCACGCTATGGTGCAGCAACCCTGAGATTTGCGGACATTTCACATCTTCGAGACTGATTTCCCATGTTTCAATACCACTGTAGCGTGTAACCTCCTTCGAGCATAAGGAAAGGAGGTTATAAGTATGGATTTCGCCAAGCTGCTTCAAATTGTATCTTGATTCAATATGACGTGCTATTTACTTGAAAACAAAATTGACGACTTTAAATAACAATATGTACACAAATCTGTACAAACTGTCCGAATTTTATCCGAAGGTATTTTCTCCAGCGTATGTCACGTAAAGAAAGCCATCACCGTCTTTGTGTTCTTCATAGGTGGCCGACATAAGTGCAGCTGCAATGAGAGAAAACAACGGCCTTGATCAGCACATTGTCCCTGGACAAAAAAACATGCATGTGAAAAGAAAACCTACATGAGGGAGGCATAGTGTTGCCAATGAACAGAAATATTGCTTGCTCCGGGCTGAGCTTTATCCTGTTGCGAATGACTGCCGTAAACTGGCTGATAGAAATGTCCGCAGGAACCAAATACCTGCAATAGCAGTCGACCCATGTAAGGCAATCAGCGAAAGAACAAGGGGGACGCACGAGAGAGACAAGGGACCAGGAGGGAGCTTAGAGGAGGTGAGACATGGAGGAAGAAGGGGAAAATGGGAATGACTAGCATGTACGTATTTGTGTGTGTGCGAGCTCGTGTGCCTGTGCGCGTGCGTGCGCGCGTGCGAGCGGTCGTGCGGTTGTGCGGACGTGCGTGCGTGCGTGCGTACGTGCGTGCGTGCGTGCGTGCGTGTGTGTGTGTGTGTGTATGTGTGTGTGGAGGGTGAGAAGCCGGGGAAAAACCTACTTTTTCTTGTCCATGTCGGGCACTTTGCTCCTGCGAGCCTTCTCAACAATGACCTGCATAGATACGCATGAATGATAAGCTATGCATCACACACAGAGACAGCTAGTAATAAGATATGCACAGGCAAGCAGTTTTTCACGAAAGCTAGACGGCATTAACTTACAGGGATCCTATCGGGATACTTCTGCCGAATCCTGTCAGCTTCCATCCTCCTCTTCTCTGCCAACGTTAGAAAAGAAAGATGAGCCAGTTGAACGCACTTCCCCTTTTAAGGCAGTGCGAGCATGCTTTTACTCACCAACGGGGTGCTGCTTCTTAAATGAGGTCCTTTCCGACGACGCCATGATACGGCTCGTGAAGACCACCTCCAAGGTACTCTTGACAGCTCTATCGACAGGGAAGCTCGTTACAAGCAACAAGAAACGAGAAATCTGAGGAGAATCTCGCCCAGCCACACAGGGCTGTGGCTGGACGATGGCGACGCAGCTAGACGATGGGGTGAGTAGGAACAGCTTGAGACCTGACCAGAGGAGGAAACTGGAGACTGGATTGCAAGGCAGAAGTTCAGTTGGTGTGAGGCTTTCAGTCGTAGGAAATTGGAGACATTGAAAATCCAAGCCGTTGGGTAAATTGGTCACACCCACCCCCGTCTTCCTTCAATTGTTACTTGAGGGGGTTTCGGTGGGCTGCTAGCTCTGACACCCGAGGCGCCAGAAGTGCACCTAGTCTCCCAAGGAAGAGGTTGCCAGACTTACGTGGCTTTATTCCGCAACAGAGATTCGTTGGAACAACTGGGGAAGCCAATGGAGGACGTCGATTGGTTGTTCTAATAGGTTTGGAAAATCGCCAATAAGCAGGCCTGGCTTGACTGAACCTCAAACCATGTTCCTGCCACATCACTCCCCAGCGTCCACGCAACCACCAAAAAACACAGTTGGCTGACGTGGGCTCCACGCCATTGGCCCTGGTTTCCATGTGGCCCTGCTTCCTTCACGCCATCTTTGGAAATCTTACACGTTACAGGCACATCCCCCTTCTTACATTCGCACCCATTTGACAAAAACTGTATATCGGGGTTCTAAGTATCAACTAGGTTAGTGCATGATCAAACTCCAGTTAGCCCATCATGAAGCTTCGAAAGGAGGTTATAATAGATGTTACAAGCTGTTCTCAGAATAACGCAATGAATAGAATAAGGCATACAGGCAGGTTTAATGCTATGGTGCTGTACTCTCTAAAAGCATGGACCTATTTAGTCTATAACAATATATAAATATGTTAACACACTCCCTAGGCTAGACAAGGGGCAACTTTGGCAAGAGACCAGGGTTTCAGCTAGGATTTTAGGCCGTCTGATGTTCAGACTATCAGAATAATTGAATAATGGTAAAGATGAGAGTACACACTGTTGGAAACATCTCAAAAGACTTAAGCGTTTCTGAAGTGTAACACTGTACTCGAAGAAGATTACAGGGGAGCACGCGAGTCAACGGAGGTTACACGAGGGGGCGGACAAAGAATGCGAAAAGACTCGAAAGGTCATAACTGGAGGTTGCGACTGACCGTTACAACATCATGGATGGTAACCGAAGCGGCAATCGAGTCGCTGTGCGACTCGATAAACCGTTCCTGTAACTGTATTCTACAACTGCCCTCCTATCTTCTATATATTGCTGTATGCTTGTTTCTTTAATCAATCACTTGTTCTCACATACTAGTACAAGGGTTCAACTATCTCAAACTTCCGCTGCACTACTCAAAGTCTCAAAAGTCTCATTCTACAACTGGGACTTAGTCTCTGAAAGATCCTAAGGGCATTTCTCAGCCCAACATGGTATGAGAGCTGGTCAGAGACCAAACTCCCAGCAACTACGCTCCATCAACAACCTGCAACTCAACTCAATTTAACGACTTCATTGATTACAAGACATGGACAGCAAGGGCAAGAAAATCTCTTCGGGCTCACCCAGCGGCCAAGAAACTCAACACGGCAACTCTGGTCTGCACACCTCAGGACTGCAGACAGAGACCGGGACTGCTCAAGAAACAACGGGAAGAGTACCAGAGATGGTGACTCCATCTCCCTCTTCAAGCGTGGACCCCAACCTTATGGAAAGGTTCTTCAGCTTCATGTCGCACTTCGACCAACAGCAGCAGACAAGGACACCTGCGCATTCAACACAAAGCAATGGAGGAAACATGGGATTAGCGCCGATGAGCCTCGACAACTCATCGTTTGGGCGACACAATCAAGCGCCTACCTTTGCGCCTTATCACTCTTCACCGGGGACGTTCGAGTTTATGCCGCCCCGTGCCCAACCAACAGCAGCTGCATCACGACAAACGCCAAACGAAATCTTAAGTCTCCAGGCGCAGTTCTCGCACGTGATAAAACTGCAGACATCTTCACCGTTCAACGGACACGACTTCTTTACCTGGAGTTTCGAGTTCGAGCTGCTGATGGAGGCCGCGCATCTTCTGGGATACTTCAACGGGTCCCTGCCATTCCCAAGCAACGGCACTGGAAAGGAACAAGAAATCTTCACGTATCAGTCGCTGCTGGCGTATACGGTTCTCCTGAGAAACCTGTCACCACAAGAACAGCAGAGCATCAGAACATACAGGAGCTATGGAAACTCCGCGGAGCTCGCATGGCACCATCTCAAGTGCCTCTACCAAGCAAACGACAGCGTGACACAAAGCAGACTCATGCAACAACTGACAACAATACAGATGAAGACCGGGGAAAAGGCGATGCAGTATATGAGTCGCTGCCAGACCCTCCGCGACCGCCTGCTTCGGTGCGGAGGTACAATCACTGAAGAAAGCTTCGTGACACTTGTCCTCGCCGGGCTCGGGCCAGAATGGAGAACCACACGATCGCTTCTTCGCGCCCACGGAAGGATTTCGGAGATGCATCTCTGCGCCGAGCTTCACGCTGAACAACAGGAGATGGACCTGTTCGAAGAAAGACAACCAAGAAAGCAACAGCAGTTAGTCTTCTACACTCAACAAAGAAACGACAACACCTACAATCGACGCAGCAAGCAAGAGCGCGACAACAGGGGACTTACCCACGTGCCGCCGTTCTGCCACAACTGCCAGAGTTCCGGGCACTCCAAGGTCAACTGCAACCGCCCTCGCGTTTACCGTTCAGCAGACCCACAAGTCGCTTCCACTCAAGCAAGTCCCCCAAGGCGCCCTTCAACATCTGCACAACAAACACCAAACATTATCAATTGCATGGTACACATCGACAACTGCGCACCCAGATCACCACCCACCTACGCGCCAGACGAAGAAGAGCTGCCGCCACCGCGCTCACAAGGCCTTCAAGTCAATCCAACATATGCTGCGGTCGCCAACGCCGAACCCACCGGGCGAAACACCTGGTTCTTGGACAGCTGCTGCGGTCAACACATGTGCTCCTCGGGACGCTTCGTGCAACAGGAGAAACGCCTCAACCGCGACGTCGTCATCACCGTCGCCAACAACGAAAACCTGAAGACAAACAGACAAGGCGTGGTTCAGTTACAATCCATGGAGACAAATGTCATACTTCAACTCAACAAAGTGCTCATTGTCGACAATCTGGGATACAACCTACTAAGCGTAAGCCAACTAATGGCCAAGGGGATTCACCTGGAGTGCGACTCCTACTCCAACGAGTTTCGGCTTTACCACGGGAAGGGCGGCCTCTTCATCGGTCGTGCCCTCCTGAAGTCTGGCGTCTTCGTATTGGACTTCGTCCCCGACCGCGGTACTGCCGACAGTGACGGTATCGTATCGTTCGCCGCCTGGACTCACCCGCCGGATCTTGATCCCGACTTCGACAGTGACGGCTTCTGGCACTCCAACACCATACCTGCAGCAGAAAGAACACGAGCATTAGCAGTTATCAGACAAGAAAGACAAGTACCCGCAAGTATCCCAACCAAACCATCACCTGCAGTATCGACAGCAGGACCCAGCCGAGTCCCACCACCAGCGACCCGAGGACCGCCAACCGAAGCAGACCAGCTTATGCCCATCACACGAGAAGTTTGTCGAAGTCCCGCCTCAGTCGTCGCGTTCTTCTCCAACGCCGACATCTACCACCGCTCGCCCGGTCATCGCGCTTCCGACGACATCTGGCACCAACGTCTCGGACATCCTGCAAACAGCACGATACTACAAACAATCCAAGCAGAGGTGTTAGAACGCAACGCCCTTCTAACGACGAGCGGCCAAGAACTTCGACGACCACGAGCACGGTGCTTCACGTGCCCCGAAGCAGATCTTCCTCATCAACCTTTCCCATCTCATCACAACCCAAGCGCCCCCACTTACGCTCCGATGGAAAAGGTCTACAGCGATATTTTAAACATGCCTCGAGAAGACACCGAAGCCGACTTCAACTACGTCATCACGTTCATCGACGCCGCAACCAGATACGTCTGGCACTTCAATCTCAAGACGCGTGATCAAGCTTTCGAAGCCTTCACAACATGGCTTCCCATCGCCGAACGAGAATCGGGATTCAAACTCAAGAGTTTCCAGTCAGACGGTGCACTGGAATACCAGTCACAACGCTTCAGGACCTATCTGGCGGAAAGAGGAATCAGACGCCTGGTGTCCCTGCCCTATGCTCACCAACAGCAGGGGGTCGCAGAACGCATGAATCGGACCTTGCAGACGACGATGCGAAAACTGCTTCTGGGGATGAGGCTGCCCACCACACTGTGGCCAGACGCGATGACACATGCAGTTCACCTGCACAACCTGTTGTCCTCGTCATCGCTTCCCAACAACGCATCACCGCACCTGCTGTGGACAAGAAAAAGGGGCAGCACAAAATTACTCCGAGTTTTCGGCTGCATGGTACAGTACAGACCCCACACAGCCCGAGCAGGACGCTTCACACAACGAGCTCGGTGGGGACTACACCTCGGCATCGCCAAACATTTTCACGCGTGGAAAATTCTCGACATACAAGACAAAAACACGGTGGCCTCACGTGATGTTATCTTCTACGAGCGACTGACGCTGCAGCATTACCTGGACAACATTGCCAGCACACAAGACCCCACCGACGGCTTCTCGGGACTTCGTTCCTTCGCCGATCGTGCTGCCGAAGCTGACGCAACAGAAGAAGACGTACCTGGAGCCTCGGAAGCTGCCGGACCACTCCCATTCTGTTCCGTACCTGTTCCATTCGACGAAGACAATCCTCTCGATAGCAACAACCTCGACACCTTTTACCACTTCGCTGACCAAGGTTACATTACACCCCACCCAGTCGACACAAATGTTTCAGAACGCATCGGTCCCAACTTCTTACCTGACCCAGAAGACGGTGACGAAGCAGCTTATTCCGGGAATGAAAATTCCCCTCGACACACTCCCACGGGACTGCAGATCCTAGGCCTCTGGGTCTCCGTCCAGCATCCGCCGCCGCCTTCTCCGCGTGAGCCTTCGACCTTGTCGCAGGCTCTGGGGGGGGAACATAAGGCAAAATGGAAAGAAGCGATGGAAAAGGAGTTAAAGGCTCTGCAAGACCGAGAAACATGGAAACTGGTACCTGCAACGAGCATCAATGGGAAGAACGTCCTCTCGGGGAAATGGGTGTACCGCATCAAGACCAACTCAGACGGCTCCATCGAACGATTCAAAGCTCGATGGGTCGTACGAGGCTTCGATCAACGATACGGAACTGACTACACAGAAACCTTCGCTCCAGTCTCCCGTCACACCTCATTACGCATCCTACTC